TTTTTATAATAATAAATTATAACATAATTTAATATTTTAAACTTTAAATATTATTAAGCACAAAAATACTCTCTTATGAGACATTTAATAAAGGAATTTATACTAAAAAAATGGTTCATGACAGTATTTTATCTCATAAAAAATAAAATCTATCATAGCTTGCTCTGACAACTAGTTTCAATAATCGTTTTTTTTAGCGGTCTTCTCCGGCGATTGTTTTTTCGCTGTTGTCTCATGTAATTGATAAATGTTATATTTATTAATAAATATTATATTTATTTAAAAATTTGACTATTAATTCCAGTGAATAGTAATTATTGTGTTTATCAGTAAATACGATATTTAGTTGTAAATACCGTGCTTACTAAATTTATTTAAAAATTCAACGATCGACTCTGACGACTGATAAATATCGTATTTATTGATAAATACCGTATTTACTGGTGAAAATTCGGTAACTCGCTCTGACGATTGATAAATATCATAATTACCGTACTTATCAGAAAATTCAGCGATCAATTCTGGCAATCGAAAAGTGTTATATATACCGATAAATATCATATTTACCAGTAAATATCGTATCTACTCATAAATATATATTTATCTGAAAATTCAACTACCAACTCCGGCGATTGTTAAACATTGCACTTACCAATAAATACAATATTTACCGGTATAAATCATATTTCTCATAAAAAATTCCAAATCACAAAACTGAACATCATTTCTCAAGGAAAAAAAAATGATCAAACCTCTAAACCAAAAATTGAACATTCACAGCAAAAAAAAAAAAAAAAAACGGACTCACAATCTCCAAGTACCACGGTGGCTTTAGGTCGTCGATCTTCTTCGGCTCTGATGCAGTTTCAAATCTGATTCGCGTGCGGTTCTTGCTCAGATCCAACGAGGCTGCCATGTTCCATCACATCGCCGTCTGATCTATTCGCAAGATGTCCAGTAGACGGTGTTCTCGTATCTTAGCTAGCAAATTCCAATATTCTCTGGAAACAGCACGACCTTAGCGACGGGCACGAGGAATTATCATATCGCTGAACAGCAATCTCTATTGCTCTCGAACGGTGGTCGTAGGCGACTACAAAAATAGCAAATCATGATCTCCAACGACGGCGGATCTTGGCCAAGATCCGTCGCGGTGTTTTGCAACATTCTCTGGTCTTCGCAGCTCACGGATCTGGTTCGTGAAGGCCTCTCGTCGGAGTTTAGTTCGCCATGGCAACCTTGTTCTCAACAACAACGATCATCATGTGAGATGGGGAGAGTGCTCAGAGGAGAGATAGAGAGAGATGGTTGGGTTTAGTTGAATAAGAGGACAAAAAACTGTAATCCTAAATGAAAGGGTAGATTTAGAAAAGATTAATATATTTTTGAATGAAAATTAGGCCTCGTTCATTTCACCGATTCAAGTTTTTAATTTTAGATTTATACAGTAAAAAGTTCTCAGAAAATGTCACATCTAACTTTTTTTACTATAATAAAAAAGCTCTCAGATCCAACGAGGCTGCCATGTTCCATCACATCGCCGTTTGATCTATTCGCAAGATGTCCAGTAGACGGTGTTCTCGTATCTTAGCTAGCAAATTCCAATATTCTCTGGAAACGGCACGACCTCAGCAACGGGCACGAGGAATTATCATATCGCTAAACAGCAATCTATGTTGCTCTCGAACGATGGTCGTAGGCGACTGCAAAAATAGCAAATCATGATCTCCAACGACGGCAGATCTTAGCCAAGATCCGTCGCGGTGTTTTGCAACATTCTCTGGTCTTCGCAGCTCACGGATCTGGTTTGCGAAGGCTTCTCATCGGAGTTTAGTTCGCTGTGGCAACCTTGTTCTCAACAACAATGATCATCATGTGAGACGGGGAGAGTGCTCAGAGGAGAGATAAAGAGAGATGTTTGGGTTTAGTTGAAGAAGAGGATAAAAAACCGTAATCCTAAATGAAAGGGTAGATTTGGAAAAGATTAATGTATTTTTGAATGAAAATAATAATAATGGTGCATTTGGTACGAGGGTTCAAATCAAAGTGATTCTAGTTTTGATTTTGAAACTATAACTATAATTCATCACTTTAGGTCTACATCACGATTCTGAAATCAGAACCAAACGAGTTTGAACCACTCAAAACCAATAGAGTGGTTTTAGAATCATAGGTAATTCATAATTTAGAGTCCGTTTGGTTCATTGATTAGAACAATGAGATTAGAACTATTTCCAATTTACATATATTTTTTATGAGGGTAACTACTGTAACGAACCATGAACTATAATTTGAATCAGAGAACGAATCCTCAAACTAAACGGGCTCTTAAAATCTCACATCGTGATTCAAATCATTACATCAGAGTTCAAACCTTCAATAAAAATCATATTAATAATATATTAATTTTAAAAGAGTCAAATCGTAACTATTTTTTATTTTTTGTAAATAAATACTAATTATAAACTAAAATTATGATTCTGAATTAAAAATAAATTACTAATTACACTGAATAACATCTAAATATGTTTGCCCCGTTCACTTCGTTGATTCGAATTTAGATGTGACTTTATATGAGAATTTTTTACTGTAGCAAAAAAGTTAGATGTGATTATTTATAAGAACTTTTTACTGTATAAAAACTTAAATTCTAAACTCGAATCAGCAAAGTGAACGGACCGTTATTTTCTCTAAAATAAAATTAGTACCGACCATCCCTCAAAAAAGGAAAAAAAAAAAAAAAAAAAAAAAAAAAAAAAAAAAAAAGAAAGAGTAGTTGTTTTGTTTCTTCTTTACTCTTTACCCCCAAAAAAAAAAAAAAAAAAAAAAAAAAAAAACCAACCACAGTCGCTGGGCCGAGGCGAACAAGCACCAAGATTCCGCCACGTGGAACAACAATGGACCCTAGTTCTCTCTCCTTACAAATTTACTCCTCCGGGAAGTGGGCCCACGTGGGTTACCAGGTTCAAAACAGAAATCGTGACAGACAGCCACAGATGACAGACCCCCCCCCCCCCCCACACATATCTTCAAAATCTTTACTTTGATTGGACTGTCAGCAGTACTCGGGCACCAATATTCATGACTGCCAGAAATCACAATCAAACCCCAATAGCATACGTCCGATCTCAAGTAGTATAATGATCCTCTGTCTTAAGTTTGTGTAACCGTTGGGATTGGGTGGTGGTAAGGCCATCGGACGGTGGGAAAGCAGCTGCAGTAATAATGAGGCATAACTATAACACAGAGTGTGAGAGTTTCCGAGGGAGAAATTAAAAATTAGGAGGCTTTTCCGTACGTACTTGGGGAAGTGACCGGCTTTTTTATCGGTAATCGGTAAAAGAGAGAACCGCTAGCTAGGTTCTCAAGCAAAAGATATATCTCTATATATGTGGATTGACCGTCGACGTTCAAAAAGAGGAATATTTTTCCTGTCTATTTAATATCATCCTTTCGTATTAGGGTCCTTTCCAAAGCTACTCCAATTTTTAAGAGAGTACTGTCCGAAGGTGACTCGATCTCCAGTTACGCCCGTACTGTGTCTATGCCAATTTCCAATGATGGGCTACTCCCAATTAGAACCTTACACGTGTCCTTTGTTGACCCTTTTGTGGGTCCAAGTGTAATAGATTTTTTCTTTAGATTATATGTAGGTTTGGTCACGTAATCTTTCTACTTTCGTCTAGTTCACAATTTTCACCGTAGAAGAGATGTCAGGGACATGCTGATATGGATTATTGATTGGCCCTTGCTATATAACGTTATCCTCAGAATGACTTCTATTACAAATTGATAAGATTATGTCCACAAATTGTCTTTTTTTCAGAAAGGGAAAAAAAAAGGAGTGTCCATGTGACCAAAACACCCTCCTTTTAGAAACAGAAATAGAAAAATTTATGGCCAACACAACACTCCTATAGTAAGTGCACATGTGACTTTCAGTTGTGGAATACTAGAATTATCTAGTACGTACTCGTTAAACTATACATCAATGTGCTTGAAAAGTTAATAAAGAAGGTAGTTATACAAGACTTGTGAAGAAACGCATGTCAAGTTAAAACTATCAATTATGAAAATATGTAGAGAAATTCTACCATTAGTCATTTTATCTCTCTTGTTGTCATTTTTTAAATTTATTTTTTAATATGTAAATTCTATAAATATAATATATTATTATTTAAATAAAAATAAGATAATAAGATTCGTTTGTTAAATAATTAATACAGAAAATAACAGGTTTTCATTTCACTTATTCGAGTTTTCAGTTTTAGGTTTATACAGTAAAAGGCTCTCAGAAAATGTCACATTTAACTTTTTCTGTTACAGTAAAAAACTCTAAAAAAATATCACATCTCAACTCGAATTGAAAATTCAAATTCACAAACTGAACGATGCCGAAAGATGTTTGCATTTCTCAAATTGACACGGCTGAGTTGATGGTGCTTAAAGGGTAGTTTCGTCCATACGAAATTTAAGAGGCACTAGTCCAGGCTCGCTGCTCGTTCTTAAAGATTAGTGGCACTTCCGTAATAAAAGCCCATTACCAAGGGTGTTTCTTCGAACTATCGCATGTGCCTTTTATTATGTCGCCCAAGAAAAGACGTCATGAAAATTTCTGTTACCGGGAGAAAAAGAAAAAAGAAAAGAAAAAGGAAGGAAAGAAAAAAAGAAAGACGGAAAAAAACCTCCCCCACCAAATTAATTCGTGTGGGAACCACGGGGATGCGACGTTTCTTCGCCGTTAAAAAGAGTCGAAAAATCTCCGCGACTTCTTATTATTATTTTAAATTAAATAATTAATTAATTAATAAAACGAAAAACACGTCAAAAAAAAAAAAAACAAACTATATATATCCACGCTCTCAAGACTTGACGTTGAAGCTTTAACGGCGATCATTAATTTGCTTATTCGCTCTCAATAATTGCACTAGTGGAGCTTCTCGCAAATAGTGATATATATACATTTTTTCAAGCAAAAAAAGAAAAAAAAAACTCCAAAGTAAACTTGACATTTTTTCCTCTTCAGTTCTTTCTGAGAAATCTCATCGAAGAGAAGGAATCGGGTTCCAAGCTGAGAACAAGCGTACGGTCTCCGGACTGTGATCGATGGAGTACTAATAATTATCTTTTGGAGGTAACGAAATAGAAACTTTCTTCAAACCTTTTGACTCTATATATATTTGTTAATAATAATTATTGAAGTTTTTGTTTGCTCTTGTACTACTCAGCGGCTTCGATATATGGTGTGGTACGTACTTGGCGTTTAATTTCGTGTGTGGTAAGTACTGCATGAGTTTTTTAGCGATTTTTTGTTTTTTCTTTTCAGTGATAATTCTGCTTGATTTTCGTTTGAATTTTTGGCTTCTTTTAGATGGGAATCTAAGAACAGCTGTTTTCTCCTTTCTTATCTGGGTCTAACTGTTTATGAAACGACTTGTGTGAATTATGTAGCTCAAAGATTACGATTATGGATTAGGTTGGGAAGCGTATAGTAAGTTGTACAAGAATTTCAACAGCTGGATCTAGCTATATGTTTGGTGAAAGTACTTGTTAATAAGGTACTAATCTTAAATATGATGTATAGAATTAGGGTTTTTATTTATTTTTTTCTGAAAGTCGTGTTCTTTTTAGTTATTTGGTGGTGAAAAAGTGGTTGTTGTAGTTTGGTGATCGGGTTTACGTGTGGTTTTTGATGGGAAGAACGTTTTCTTTTATCTGCCTTTTGGTGAGTATTAAGAGTTCCATAATAATACATAGTTGTTGAAGGTTGCCGACAGTAATAGGAAGTTGAATAGCAGAATCACTGTTTATGAGAAAAGCAATGGGTTTTTTTTTTTTCTTTGGATGCGACGGGCTCTCGAGGTTTAAAGCGAAAGGAAAAAAAAAAAATCAGAAAGGAAGTGAAAAAATTTAGTAAAAAACGAATTTGAAAAAGGAAGTGTCTGATATATATTTGTTGTTTCGGTTCGTCCTTTATTGATCGTGTTTTTCTGTCTATCAGGAAGAATATGTTGTTAGAGAGATGATATATTTTAGAGAATGTTTTCATTTACTTTGGTCTAACCATCAACTTTATTATATTGCCATTTCCAGCGAGGTATTCCATTCTTTGTAATTGAAATAACTTTTCACGAAAGTAATTATTAAACAATCGGTTTGGTGTTGCAGGAAATTTAAGTTATGGAAAATGTACTGTCATGTTGCTCAACTTGATGGGATAATATAAAAAGCTGATCTTGTGGGTAATATTTTCCATCTTAATTGTTATTCTACCAAGAACTGTACGCTCATCAGTAAGGCTTCTTGTTCAGCAATTTGAAGCTGCCGTGTCATTAAATGCAAGAGTAATAACCACATTAACCAGCATAATCTCGATCGGGTGGACGTCTTGAATGGATCAGGCGAGCGGCTTTAGGCCTGATCAATCTCATGTGCCACAGCAAAGCCGACGCGACAAGTTGAGAGTTCAACAACTGCAATCTAATCCCCACCATTTACACCATCACAACTTTCCCAACAATTTGGACCAATTCAGTCTCCACGGCCACCACCCTGCAGATCATATTGTTCATGCCCGCAACGCCAGGCACGCCAATAATTTCCTCTACGACGTCCCGTCCGGTATAATTCCCTCGGAGATGCTCGATTTCTCATCGAGAAATAGTGCAAGTCATAACAATGTTCTTGTTAGGAATTCCGTATCAGATTGGAGATCACCAAGCCAGCAGCTCAATCCGCAATACCAAAGCTTTGATTGGTTTGCGAATTTCGCAGAAGCAAACAATTTGATCAATCCAACATCTACTGGTCATCAGATTTCCGGGCAAGTAATGAATTTAGCTCCTCCTTACAATAACAACGACATTCTCGAAGATCCAAGTAATATTGTGACGGTGGCTTCCACGGGACCAAGAAACCAACAGGACATGATGGAGATGTCCAACGACGTCAGAGATCATCAAAACGAACTGGCCCTTCTTCCCTTGAGCTACGTCAACCAATCGAAAACGACACCGCGTTTCGACAATGTGCAAGATCATCATCACGGGTTAATTAGTACTACTCATAGTAGTACTGTCGTGAGCGATTCCAACAATTTGCAAGGCTTGTCTCTCTCGCTCTCTTCCATCAATCCTCAGTTTCAGGGCTCAGAAGTATTAGAATTGCCAAAGCCAGCGATACCGAAGCCGTCTATAATCAGCAAAGCGAATTGTGCTGGGAAATCTCTTCAGGACATCGTCGGGGTTTCTTCCTGTGGATACCGAAGCACCACAGGTCCCCTGGGGCCCTTCACCGGGTACGCCACGATCTTGAAGAGCTCGAGATTCTTGTGGCCCGCTCAGCAGCTGTTGGACGATTTCTGCGGTTCGAAAGTACTGATGATGGTGAAGAGTACGAGTACATGTGATGTTGATAATATTTCAGCTGAGATGGTTTCTGGAGAAGTTAGTGGTTCGGCTAATTCTGGAGATCATGATCATGGTGATCACATTAATGTGAATGAAAGCGATCAGATTGTGGCGAAAAAGGCGAGTAATAATAATAATAATTCTTGTGGTTCTTCTTCTACATTTTATGGTTCAAATGAGATAAGTGGAGATCACCATGGAGGAGTTGGGAGCAGTGTGTCTTTTGGGTCATCTAGGCCGGAACAAGCGCAACAGAAGAAGGCAAAGCTTCTATACATGCAAGAAGAGGTAATTCTTCCATTTTATGTCTTCTATTTTTTTTTATTAATAAATTGATTGATGAGTACTTATAGTGGTAGTTTGCTCTTTTATATTTGGTTTACTTGGATAGGTTTGGTTTAACAATATACATGCGCGTTTCCTTTTGCATTTAATATTAATTATGCATGCATGGTGAGAAATAATTGTCTAGCTTTCACTTCTAGATTGGTAGATGAAGGTAGAAGATGCTTAATGAAGTGCTCGTTTTAAATATATGGTGAAGAGATATAGGGCATGGACGTTTGGTTTGGTTCATGGTTTCAGAACTATTTTCAATTTACGTTTGCTTTTTTTGAGAGAAAATACTGTTGCGAACCACGAACCATGATTCGAATCATGGCACGAATCCACCAACCAAATGCTTATAGCTTGCTAGACTGTGGACTACAAGTATCAACATCAACATAATAGAAAGTTTTAAATACAAGTTAATTATTATAAATTTATACGTTGATAAAGTTCATTGGGCTAAAGGGTACTAGGCGCCATTTTTCTTTTAGTTTTTAACGACCTTTAGTTTTGTTGATATATATGTTTGAGGAAATTAATTTTTCCAATATTACCAGGTGCGAATGATTTAATGCCAATCTAGATGTTTATACCATCTCACTATATCATATTTTCTGTATCGTTTAATTGCTGTAAACTAGAGTTTATCAATTATACCACTCTTGTTTCTAAAACCATTGGCTGGGGAACTCACTGCTATATGCCGAAAGGGTACGACGCTTTGGTAATTTAACACTGCTTTCTCACCAATTAGTAAAAAGACATAAAGTCCCCATGTCGTACTCAACTCCAATTAATGGGTGTCTTTTTTTGTGTGGGTGAAATTCTGAATTATAAACTTAGCATGAACGTGGACTCTAGTGACCTATTTGTTAGGTTTGAACAAAAACTTTAATTTTTATAAGAGAAAATAGTGTAGTAAAAAAGTTTTGAACTATAGTTCAAATCTATGAAATAAACGGGCATAAATCTCACAAGATAAATGGAAAGTGATTCAGGGAATAAGTTTTACCTTTCAGTTTGTCATTGATCTTATAACTTGTACTTTTTTGTTTAATATTGCGAGATTATTCAATATGTTCTGTGCCTAATAACTCTTGGTTAGGGTCTCATTGTGATATATAGGTAGAACTAATTCTCACTTTTTACACGTGATTGCACAAGTCAAGCCAACGGCAAATTCACTGCTTCTAATATTGAGGTCTAGAAATGCTACTCTCTTTTTTCTTTCATTTTCTGATAAGTTAAGATAATCTTCTCTCAGATTTAGTTTTACTGTGTTTGAACTTTGAAGTATGAACTTTTTGAGTGTTTTACATCTAATCACATTCTATATGTTTGGAAATTTCGTGTGCTATATAGCTAGTCCCATTTCAAACGCTGCATTTGATGTTGATTTAAATTTATAGTCACATTCTATCCTTCTTTTTTTTTTTTTTAATTCGTTTACTAATTCAATGGTGGTGATTTAAAATTTATATATTGAAGTTTGCTTCCCGAGCGATTTGAAGAGGAATGAAGAGAGTCCAAGACTCAATTGGTTCTTTTTCATGTTCTACTTTTAGATGTAGAGTTTACTCTTATAATAATCAGTTTTATAAGGTGGACACTCATGAAGTAATAATGAAAAAAAAAAAGAACATTCAACATCATAAATATGGTAAGAATAGGATTTATAAAAACAATACTACTCGTCAAATAAAAAATATGACAGGTTCAAAAGCAGATAGCTCTATGTATAATTATATGAATGTTTTATACTCCTTGGACTCTCGAGTCTACCGCTGACTATCTTTTGATTGTAACCGCCCTGTCCTTTTCATTGAAAATGGAATAATCCAGATGTTAAAAGTTTTTTTGTTTAAAAAAAAGAAAGTTACTTAGCTCATATAGAACTACACAATGATATAATTGATTCGACGAGATAGAGAAAACAATCATTCCCTGTCTAAACTACCAACAGAAATATCTGGATGGCCCACCTTTTTTTTTTTTATTACTAATTTCCCTTCAAGGCATCCACTAAATTCAGATGATATTCACTCCTTGTGTCCAACCAATAATTAATTGATAAACAGCAAAAAGCCCTTACCTATTGGAGGGCCATACAAAAAAGATATATATATATATCTATATATATATATATATATAGCTTTAGATTAACAGTGTACACCACTTGTTTGTGATCACTTACTTTATCAACGTCCGAAACCAAATAGTTGTTACTCTTGGCATGACCAAAGGCCACGTTGTTGAGTAACATAACACCACTATTAATTTTCCTAATTTAGTCGAATTCAGTTGTTGCAGTTCAATAATATTTCTCCGTTTTTGTAACAATCTTTCAAAATGCTCTTATGGTGCTTTTGTTAATGACAGTTGCACACGTTGAACACAAACTTGTACTACTGCAATTTACAGATTTTTCAGATTTGAGTATCATTGTCATCTTTGCATATCGCTTTCGAGTGACATTTTCGGTGACTCGTGTCTTTTATGCAATTCGGAAAGGTTAGCAGAAAGTACAAGCAATACCGTCAGCAAATGCAGATGGTGGTATCATCTTTTCAATCAGTGGCAGGCCTTAGCTCTGCCACGCCTTACATCTTTATGGCTCTCAAGACGGTTTCAAGACACTTCCGTTGTTTAAAAGGCGCGATCGCCGACCAGCTAAAGCACACGAGGAAAGCGTTGGGAGAGGACTTGCCGTCCCCAATGACCGGTAGCAGTAGCAAATTAGGTCATGATCATCATGCCATTAGCACAGTGAGGCTAAAGTACATGGAACAAAGCTTCCAAAAGCATAAATCTGGTGGGGCTAACTTGGCCTTCCCTGAGCCCCAACAACACATCTGGAGGCCCCAGAGAGGCCTACCCGAGCGCTCCGTCGCCATACTTAGAGCTTGGCTGTTTGAGCACTTTCTTCACCCGTATGTCTCTCATGATCTCCCATATATTATTATATCTTCACTTGGGCCACTCCAAATAGTAAATTTGATGTGTTTTGCTGTGTCAAATTTTTTCTTTTCTAGGTACCCTACAGACACAGACAAGCACATGTTAGCCACTCAAACGGGTCTAACTCGAAACCAGGTGGGTTCAATTATTTGTTTTTAGCTTTCATTTTATGCATTTTCTTTTTGTGGTCAAGTTGATTTGAAACGTAGTCTATGTTTGTTTATAGTTTTGAGGGTTGTATGACCAGATTTATAGCTCTTTGCATCCCGATTTGTTTGTTCATTTTTGAAGCGTATAGATTTGTTAGTGTAAAGCTCAAGCTTTCTTCCGAAGAAGAGTTGCGACTAATTGTGATTGTGATTAAATGTAGAGATAATTGACCCATTTGATTCATAGGCTTGAACAAGAATTTGAATTTTTATGAGAGAAAACATTATGGTAAAAAGGTTTAAATTGTGGTTCAAACGTATGAACGAAATAAAGTAAATATTCTAGGGATTCAGATTTATTTTTCCTACTAGAGAATTAGATATGCATCAAACCCTGGCGTGGCCCACTGAATGGAACAAAACTGTTTTACACAGCCTATATCTATTGCCATTGTTTATGTGGCAATTTCTACGTGCTATATCATCTGGAGTGTATGTCCAAATTGGAATCTGTTTAAGATCCATGAATGTTATATGTACCTAGGAGTAGTACTCCTGCTTGATTTGAGATTATTGATAATTGCATAAAATGCAATGATATGAAACTAAATTAATTTATATTTCAGGTATCAAACTGGTTCATAAATGCGCGAGTGCGAGTTTGGAAGCCTATGGTTGAAGAAATACACACGCTTGAAAGCAAAGGCTTGGCAGATCAAGTTGACAAAAGTACCGGCAAGCATGAATCAATTCCTGCAAGCAATGACCAGGCCTCAACTAAGCTTGGTACAAGTGTGGTGCCCAGCAAGCCATTGGAATGCCCTGGTGCAGATTACTCCACGGGCAATAGGGATCATAGGCTCGGTGCTGATCAGCAGCAGCAGCAGAGTCAGGAAAAGCGGTTGAGGTTGGAGTGTCAAGGTCCCACAAGCATGAGCGGGACACTGATGGGCTTCATTCCATACCATCGAAGCGGGCTTGAGGTTTGGGGCCACGGTCATCAATGACATTGATCAGTTTATAGAAAAGTTGTTGTAAAAATGTTGCAAACAAGATCACCTTAGGCAACATCTTTAGATCAAGGTTATATTTGGTTCGTTTGTTCAATGAAATTGGAGGATAATTGAGCACACAACTTCCTTTGATGACTTTGGAATGAAAATGAAAAGGGAGTAAACATCTCCATCTTAGGACACTAGAACTTCATTTTCAATGCCTATTGCTATACTAGTGAATGCCTTGTCACATGCTTGAATTGCCTTTTGGTTGTTTTTCTGTGAAATATTGGACTAGTCTGGTGGTAGTTAGGCGCGCGAAAGTTGTAATTTTGATAGATTAATTTTAGTGTTAAAGAGAGATTGCACTATTTACTTACGAGTTGCAAATACCCAACTACTGCTTTTATTTCTGTCTCTTAGAGAAAAAAATGCGTTATTATTATGTTTTATTTTGAACCCATATTTGTGTTAGGTTTTGTTAGTTATACAAATGTTTTTGTTATGATGTGATTTTCTCTGAATATAACGTCGAAAAACACACACCCTACTATAGAAAGCTCCTTATTTTTTTTTATTTTATTCTACTTCTAATATTTACGTAAGAAAACAAAGCAAAGAAAAGTTGAGAAAAGAAAATTTGTTCTTCTTACGGATAACGTTAGCTTAAACCAAGATGTTTTGCGTTTCCCCCTGTATCAATTGTATCTGGAGCACATAAAATGAGAATGGTTACTATTTGTAAGTGAAAAAATATATTCTTTCCAGTAGTTACCACCCAAATAAGTGTAAAATAATTGTTACGGCTAAACTTTATATAAGAGAAAAAAGTGTTTCATATATAACATGGTCACACAAGGCCACATAAAAAATATATATATTCCCCACGCAATTATTCTAGCATTAGGTCACAATACAAACTAAGTCCAAATCCATACAGAAATTCAAAAACATTAAAACCATGGACTAGTTGATACTAGCGTGCACTCACAAACTAGCTTATACAAGCATCATTATAGTAGTGGTAATAAACTAAAGCTTCAAATAGAAGCTTACCCACTTCCGTTTCCATTGTTATTATTATTGCCCATATATTTGCCGAAGTCCTTCCTAGGGATGGCATGATGATTTTCGTTTGTGTCTTTTGAGTACTTGTTATTGCCATTCTGATCTTCATCAATATCACCATCTAGCTGCCGGTTTTGTTCATCATCATGCATTTCAGCCACCATTACTTTCCTTGTCATGGCAAGGCTAGAAATGACCATCATTGACACTAAAGCAAGTACTACAAGAGACCTCATTCTTGAACAAGACATCAATACCTACCAAAATAGGATTAATTTCAAAGTTAGAAAAGCAAACTAGAACACAAAACACTCGAGAGTTCGGAGGTAACAAATATAAGTGAAATCAACATGCAATATGCATATATAAAGCTTACCAATGGAGAGGAGAAAAAGGAAAAAAAAAAAGATACACTTTTATGGGATAAAGTAGAAGGTGGAAGCTAGCTATTTATAGAAGCATGGCAATTGGCATGGGGGGGTTTTAGTGGTGATTATGATCTCACGTTTTCCACCAAAATGAGGCAATTCTAAGTGGGCTGCCCATAACATCACAATGGCATTGGCCAAAAATTACTATAAAAATAATGATGAGAGCCTTGAAATAAGTTCTTTTTCTCCCCCTAATAATAGGGAAACCGCACTGAATTTTTAGTAAATTGAGAGCGCTTTAAGGAAAGTGAAGTCAACCGAAATAAAATTTGTCATTTCTTTTCTTTTTTCCCCCTCTTAATGATTATGCATAAGTAATCTTTATTTCCTTGTTTTGTGAATCACGTTAAAATTTTTTATCTTGAGGTTAGTTCTTCCAAGTGGAGGATAATTTTAGGTGAGGTATTTGAATCGTGATATCCTTGTGGAAATTTATTGATCAACTTGGCTAATCATGAATTGTTTAACTAATTTTCTTGATTCCATTTGTTCTCACATCACCAATTCCTAGCCGATAACCCACACATATCCCTTGCAGCGGGCTTTATCTCATTATGATGATTTTTTTTTACTCGAGAATTTACTGTTACATTATACCTGCAATCATTAAACATGTGTATTAATAATTTAACACTCACCGGTTTTACTTTCTTTTATGAATATTGACTATGATGTAATTATTCAGAAAAATAACAGAGATTAGTTGTCTTCAGTTTTTGAATTGATTAAGCCAATCCTAATTTTCCGTTGTGATTATTTATTTTGAATATTTTTGTTTTTAAAAAAAAAGTCTATACTCTTTATGCTCTAAGTGGAAAGGGATTTAAGTTGTAATCAAGTGCTTGTTATGATTTATGGGTGCATTCAACACTGGATTTTGTTCAATATTTGGTAAATAAAACGTCATAATTTAATTCATTCTCGTCCAGTTGTTAATTACGGGAGATTATATTCTTTTTCCCCGGATAGATTTTATCATAATTACGGGAGATTATGTAGAGCATGTTAGTTAGGATTATCACGCTAAAGCAAACACTATTTATTTAATGCGGCATTTATTTGCAATAAATGATGATTGATTTCATTTGTTAAAGTTTTATTTACTTTTCATAATTTTATGATTATTAGAGCATATACAAAAAGATCCTTTGAGTTTCATTCTTGCTAACTTACTCCTCAAGCAGATACTTAACGTGCTAGCTACACCACTGCACGGGTCGATACACATATTGATAAGTTAATTATGTATATGAGTGTCCATATGCACAAAATATACACATATTGGACTTTGGAACCACTACCTCCTGGTAAACGAGCTATCGATTCTAAATGGGTTTACAAAGTCAAATATCATCCAAATAGATGCATTGAACGCTACAAAGTGTGCCTTGTCGCCAAAGGCTATACTCAGATTGAGGGTGTCGACTTTCATGAAACATTTGCCCTAGTTGCCAAACTAGTTACTGTACGTTGTTTATTAGCAGTTGCTTCGATTAGGCGCTGGGAGTTGCATCAACCGGATGTGAACAATGCTTTTCTGCATGGGGACCTGGAGGAAGAAGTCTATATGAAGATTCCACAAGGATTTGCCAAACAGGGGGAGCAACGAGTTTGTCGACTACAAAAATCTCTTTATGGACTTCGACAAGCATCCAGAAATTGGTACCACAAGTTCACAGCCTCGCTTCTTGAAATTAGTTTTCAGCAGTCAGATGCAGATCATTCTTTGTTCATCTTTTCTCGTGGAGGATCTTTTGTTGCAGTTCTCATCTATGTCGATGACGTCATCATCACGGGAACAGACTCTGCTCGTATCTCTAAGCTGAAACACTACTTGGATACTAAATTTCACATCAAGGATCTTGGCAAACTCAAGTATTTTCTTGGACTTGAAGTTGCACGCTCCTCAGCAGGGATTGCTTTAAGTCAACGCAAGTATGTTCTTGATATCCTAGCAGAGAGTGGTCTTACAGGCTGTAAGCCGGTTTCTTTTCCCATGGACCAATAATAGTTTTATATTTTAACAAAAAGTTTGAATTGTCTCTCTTCCTTTTGTTTCTATTTCTCATTCTTCATCTTATCATCACTTTTTCTCTCTCACATCTTTACCATAGTCTCGTGCATTTTCGTTCAGATCTATGGCCTCAAAGATCTCACTCGTGTTGGCCGCTACGAGGAGTGCATGTCCGAAATACTTGCGTCGTCATGAGCCTACATGAGGGGGATCTTTCCCCCCGCCTCCGATGCTTTTCCCTTTTCCGCCTCTTGAGTTCTTTTTTATTGATTTTTAAGTATACCCACAAGAAACCATCAGTAGCAAGACGACTGTGTAATTTGTAGTAACACAGTGGGATACTTTCGGTATTGCAGCAGGATACTATCTGTAGCATGGCTTTCATGTATGTACGTATGAACATAAAAGGGGGAATGTTAAATTTACATAAATTAAAAATCAAGATACAAAGAACAAATAATCGCACAAAGCATATAGACGATTATTTCCACAAAATTATTTCCACGTGAGCTCCGGAAAGAATTGGTCTGGACTCGCCCCTACAAGGAGAATCCGTACTTTATGCATCTGCGAATCAATAAAATACAAAAACAAATGACGTACTGTTATTTTATGCAAGCACCATTAATTACCGAGTAGATGGCTACCATGAACTTTCATTCGATTAAAAGTAAACCGATGTGCTAAAAGTTATTCTTATAATTATTACAATTACTATTATTATTATTATTATTATTATTATTATTATTATTATTATTATTATTGCTATTAGTATTATTTTATTATCACATATGTCTCGTAAATTTTGCCTGGGGATTTGATTGCAAAACGACATTTTATAGATGCTTGTACATACGTTTTGACTCTTTGATATACACATGATGTGTGCATGTGCCCGTATATATAATAATGGCACATCACGTATATATATATATATATACACACACACACACTGCTTTAAACATTAGTTCAATGCATTATCAAATACGTATCAGGATCTTATATAGGATGATAGTACACAATCAGATAACCATACACACTAGTATAGCTCGATCACTAGGCTATCACAAACTCTATATATAGCTAGCACCATGGACGTACAAACACTCCACTAATAATATCCACCATCCTCATCATCTTAAATATTAACTGCGAATATAGAATAAAATTATGCGCTATAAGCCTATAACTACATATGACTATAGTTTCACCCATTGCCACTATTATCATCTCCACCATGGTTATTGAAGTCTTGCCTAGGAATGTAGTGATGATTATTCACGCTGCTTCCCGGGTACCCAACTTGGACTTGGTCTCCATCATCTGAAACTACCAGCTTCCGGCGATCTCGCCGGAGCATTTCAACCACCGGAAACGCTGAAGTCTTCACGTTTACGGCAGAGCAAGAGCTCATCGTGATCATCAGTACCACTAGGGCAACCACAACTAGGAGTCTCATTTTTCTTCAATCGTTAGCTGATTTTCAAAAGCCAAATTAAAAAAATTGAAACTAGTATTAGTACACAAGAGCCTTGCAGAAAAAAACATTTATAAGAGTAGAATATACTTACTGAATATTTTTCGAGAGACTTCATACATATGGGAAGGACATGAAGAGGATTGAGCCATTTATATAGTGGCAAGCTAGCTAGGGCGTTTTCCTAATTGAGTACTACAGTTGCATCAATATATAATTAATTTTGTTATGGGGTCTCCACCAATTATGACAATAGTAAGTG